GGAATTGTCTGAAAATCCACACAAGGAGTTCCTTGTGGGTACTTTATACCTCGGCAGAGAATTATCTATATAGGTCCACAATATCGTATAGCCCCCATATAACGGTACCCCCCGCTATTCGGTATTTTGATGATTTTTACCCACATTTTTCAACGGACTTGTCTGAAAATCCACACAAGGAGTTCCTTGTGGGTACTTTATACCTCGGCAGAGAATTATTAATATAGGTCCACAATATCGTATAGCCCCCATATAACGGTACCCCCCGATATTCGGTATTTTGATGATTTTACCCACATTTTTCAACGGAATTGTCTGAAAATTCACACAAGGAGTTCCTTGTGGGTACTTTATACCTCGGCAGAGAATTGTCCAATAGGTCCACGATATCGTATAGCCCCCATGTAACGGTACCCCCCGCTATTCGGTATTTTGATGATTTTTACCCACATTTTTCAACGGAATTGTCTGAAAATCCACACAAGGAGTTCCTTGTGGGTACTTTATACCTCGGCAGAGAATTATCAATGTAGGTCCACAATATCGTATAGCCCCCATATAACGGTACCCCCCGCTATTCGGTATTTTGATGATTTTTACCCACATTTTTCAACGGAATTGTCTGAAAATCCACACAAGGAGTTCCTTGTGGGTACTTTATACCTCGGCAGAGAATTATCTATATAGGTCCACAATATCATATAGCCCCCATATAACGGTACCCCCCGAAATTCGGTATTTTGAAGATTTTACCCACATTTTTGAACGGAATTGTCTGAAAATCCACACAAGGAGTTCCTTGTGGGTACTTTATACCTCGGCAGAGAATTATCTATATAGGTCCACAATATCGTATAGCCCCCATATAATGGTACCCCCCGAAATTCGGTATTTTGAAGATTTTACCCACATTTTTGAACGGAATTGTCTGAAAATCCACACAAGGAGTTCCTTGTGGGTACTTTATACCTCGGCAGAGAATTATCTATATAGGTCCACAATATCGTATAGCCCCCATATAACGGTACCCCCGATATTCGGTATTTTGATGTTTTTAGCCATATTTTTCAATGGAATGGTCACAAGGGGTTCTTTGTACACAAGGGGTTCTTTGTCAGCACTTTACCCACCGACAGAGAATTCTCTATATAGGTTAACGATAACGTATAGCTCCCATATAACGGTACCCCGCGATATTCGGTATTTTGATGATTTTAGCCACATTTTCCAATCGTATTGTCTGAAAATCCACACACGGAGTTCCTTGTGAGTACTTTACACGCAGACATAGATTTGTCTCTATAGGTCCACAATATCGTATATCTCCCCATATATCGGCACCTTCCTATATTAGATATTTTAAAGATTTTAAAAGAATTTTTATTGGATTTTATTTTTTTGAAAATTTTCTAATTCGTTCCAAATGGTGGAGGGTATTCAAAGTTCGGCCCAGCCGAACTTACTGCTTTTTTACTTGTTCTTTCTGTACTCGCCATGTACCGTACTTTTTGTTACATTTCTCGGGAACTATTTTTCTTTAGTCTAATTTCCAAAATTTCTCAACATACAAATTTATACATTGCAGACAAGATAAAAATGTGTGGTTTGGAGAAAAAAATAATTTATTCAAAAAACAGTTTTGTTATACCGGATTTTTTTTCGATTTTTGGGTCTAGCTACGGCTTAAGTAGACCAAACTCGTATTATTTTCTTTCAGAAAACATTCCAAAACTTGACATTTAAACTGTAATCTTCGACTGTAATTTTCCTGTTTTTGCTTCGAGTAAATAAAAACAAAATTTGGCGGTTTTTACAAAAATAATGTGTTTATTTGGCTGTTACTACACCCAATAAAGAGAAACAAATAAATAAAATCACAAACATATGAACTTCGCTTTAATAAGGCAAAACTCGACAATTAAGAAAAACACATCATTTGCAGTCTATGCAAATTTATCGATTTACTATTTGCTGGAAACGCTATGCCAAAACCGCATATTATATCAGTCACCAAACCTTTTTATTAATACTATTGATCTTTTCACTTTCATCGAAGACTTCGACATCGACATCATCACAGACTTCCTGCGGGTTTCGTATTACATTTGCGGTGCTTATAAATGATGCACCTAATTTTAATTGGCCCATATTGTTATGCGTTTTCTTCCCATGTTTGGCTGACTGACAAAGATACGAGAATCGAACTAAGAAACCAATGCCCCAAGAATGGCTAAACCTCTTAGGTTCGGTTAGTTGAGACATCAATGCCTCCTAATTGATAAAACGTCAATTCGATGACAATTATTCCAAAATGTGCACCACTCTAACCTATAGTATTATTTTTTGTCTCTCGATCTGGTAGTTACTTCGTGTGAAAACATTGCTACTTTTTGAAGAACCGATTGCTATTGAATTGTGGCACAGTGGCGAAAGTTGGGTTGGGAGTTGGTGTGTTGTGTGCGGGGAATGGTTAGTTTTTGTGGATAATGGGTGAGGATAAAACTCATGGCGTCATAACTAAAAAGTGTGGCCAGTAGCTGCCCTCAAACAAGCAAAAAAATAAAAACATAAAAAATGTGCAGGCTTGGATTTCCATATTTTCGTGCAGTTATATGTATCGTTAAAATGGTTAATAACACAATTTAATTTTTTAATTAACAAATAGTTTTTATATAAGCTTTCAAAGGACATACAAAGTTACATAATTATTCAAAATCGGCTATCAAATCGGGTCTTAGTTCTGAATATCACGTTCAGATAACTCTAACAACAAAATACTATGATATCCCGAACAAACAAGCCAACACTGTTCTAACTGAAAAAAGTATATAAATGAGGTTGACATAACTAGAACTCATAACCTCTTTACTTTAATACAAACACTTTCCTTTTTCCCAAGCTAGAAACGAATAATAGTGAAAAAGATGCACCAAAACATGACAATATCGATTTATTGCATGTGTGCACTTAATAATTAATAATATAATTAAAAAGTCGTCAATCAAAAACTTGATCAATGGCGAAATTTTCTTTACATGCCTCAGAAATTTGTTTTATCTCTTCGGACGAAATCCGTTTCAGGAATCCTGGGGTCGACCAAGCGATGTCAAGATGTATTTAATTATATCCAAACTAAGATTGAGTTAGAAGATGGGCAATGCCGATCAACTTCTCTGTTGCTCTCCCCGAAAAAGGTCCAACATTACAAACGGCAATCGCAATATTGGAGTCAGACTCATAATGGGTAATAGCAAACCTACTTTTGGCTCCCCTTTCCCAAAAATTTCGAAGAATGCAATTCGAGCGAAAGTATTCCCAGATTTCACCTTCTCTGTTACCTCCCCACCAGAGAACCTCCGTTTGGTACAAACTTTGCACATCCTAATGTATGAATCGTATGGGACAAAGGGGGTCTACGACAGTTTCCGACCATTGTTATAAATATTTCTACACTCGGGCTTTTGACTATAAACATGTATTAATCGAAAGAAAGCCACAAATAGATGTGAGATTAGGAGTCGTTGTGGTATATCCACTCATATCATAATTAATGTCTAGTTGGAACTCACAGAGATATTTCTATCAAAGCTGTTCCATAGAAATAATTCCTTTTTTTCAACATTATACGTTTGACCAACTCTACTATCAGATGAAAGTCTGTGGGAAAAGACAGAGGTCGGACTTTATTTGAAATCGATTTAAATTTGACAGGTGTTTCTAAGTACCAAATATCATTGCTATATAGAGCATGTTATGAGTTTGGAAGATATATGAGGTGTTTCTAGGCTGCGTTTGAAATAATGAATTTTAAAACAGCCACAGAAAAAAGGCAATTTGGTCCTACGCATCTCATCTTAACATTAGATCTAGAAATTTGAAGGGGACTGGGGAGTAATTTAGTGTTTTTTTAAGGTTTTGATTATTATTATTATTATTATTATCTATTTATTGTCCAAAATTGTGACATTTTGAGGTGAGATATACGAAGAAGTGGACCAATGTTGTACAGTTTCGCACCTGACCTACGATTTATCTAAATATTACGATGTAAGAAGTTCGAATTTGTATTTTTTCGCAAAATTTTGAACTTTTTTGGGGAGACAAAGAATTAGATTTTCAAGGCAGACTGTTCAGAAAATAACTAAACATTTCCGGGTCCGGGTCGCATTCTGACTACCGATGTATTTTACTGAGTTTGAACATATGCAAAAATGTATACTTTTAACCCAATGTGTGATGGTAAAGGGTATGTACCTCTTTCTTTTGCACTTCTTTCCATTACCTCTAACTTAATGTTGTGCCACTGTGCTACAATTTCAAATTGATACGACATTCATGAAGGAAATTGAAAACCGAGATCCACGATTTCGATGACTAGCACGACAGTTAGTAAATCAGCAGAGTCAACTTTTTTGCTTGAGCAAGGTATACCGTCGTCATAGTCGACAGAGTCAGTCGTTTATCACAATTTTATTTGTATTTTGTTTTTTTTTTTTTTCTTTTTTGAGTTTGTTGTTTTTTATTTACAACGTCTACTGTTGTCTTTATCGTTGTCAAAATGCCGTCGTTTACCTCATGAATGAAATATGAAACCCCAGAAGACCAACAACAACCACAACAAGTTATCAAAACAGTGCAAGTGCATTTATTTAATAGCGAAGTGAACTCAATAAATAGTTGTAAGAAATGAACGAATGTGAAGAGGAATGGAATAAAAGAAATGCAACGATAAACAGGATGGGCATGGTTGCAACGAGATTTACCCTACCTTAACCTATATGTACATACGTATACCAACAACACTGAGAACGATTTACCGGTTAGGCGCAAACTCGCAGAATATTTTGTCAGACACATTGGAAAACCGCGCTTCACCCGCCAACTTAAATCGTCTTTTACATTTCTGTTCTTTCCAACAATTAAGTCCAGTTCCTATGTTCGTATTAAATATAAGTCACCTGGAATCCCAAAATGACAACAACAAAATCAAATTGACTTACCAACATTTCACTTTATTCGAAAAGTTGGCGTTGTTTTGTGCAACTGCAACGTTTATGCTTTGGGCGAACGCCGTTGCGATCTCGGTGCTCAGCAGACAACAATTGTTTTTTTTTTTGGTGGTTCGGTGGCAGCTTTTAATATTCGTTGATAATCAAATATAATCTTGATGAATTTTGTCACCGATTAATCTCATTTGGACACTACAAAACACTCACTGGTCGTTTTACGATTGGCAATCAAAACAAAAAGAGCTGTGTGCCTTTGGCTATCTAGGAGAGGTGCAACAAACAATTCACATTGACACTAGTGATAATGACCGACCGATGACCGGATCTATGTTGGCACTGGCATTTCCGTTCGCGATTGTTGGACTTTGTTAATTTTGCGTTAAACACCTTGCGGGTTTCTTGTTTGACTTGCCACTTATCAATTGTGAAAACAACAATCAGTCCGTAGTGTTGGCATTGGCACGAAGATCGCAGACACACTAACAATTTAGCCAACAAACACACAGAACACGCGCTACTCGTTTTAGCGTAGATACGCCTCCGACAATTGCTCACACAATACTAAAATACGGCTAATGAGAACATGGCAAAACTGTGTTTTACCAAGAGTTGTGAAAGTTCTAAATGCTCTCGCCAACAAAAATAGTGCTCACTCTCCGGCATTTCTTGTAACGTAAGTGGCAATGACATAAACACAACACAACACAAGCACGCACACATACATACATACAAAGCAATAAAACAATTATGTATCGAAGACGCCAAGAAATCAACAATTCACTCAAGACGTGTCGAAAATAACATTGTAGCAGGTCAAGAAGAGTTACAATTTCATGTACGCCCCATAACGAGTAAAAGATCGGCGGTGGATTAGTAATGCAATACATAATATATTTGGGAAATAGCGACCCACCGAGTTCGATGGTGAGGAATCTGGTGGTCAGCATTGAGAGCAGGTGCAAATGCTCGCTATGTTCAGGGGGGCCAGAAGTGAATCTTGTGTTCTTTGCATTCTTTGGTGCATCCATCTTGAACGGTGTGGAACTCGACTATACGAGTACACTAGGATTGAAAAGTAATAACAAGGACAGTACAAGGATGGATTGTATTCAAAATAATTTCCGCACATAAACATTTATAGATTCTAGCTCGGATCAAACACTCTTTCGACTTTCAAAACTTATTGGATCGCTGATGAAACCAATAAACTGTTGTTTGTGTTATTCTGACATTTCGTTGTGTTCTTCTCCCATTAAAAAGCACTCTTAGCATTTTCATTATATTTTTTGCTTAATCAGAGACCATTTGGCATGTGTGCGCACATGTGTTGGTTGGAGTGAGTAAAAATAAATTCAAGTTCAAGTACAAATTTGGGCAATTTTTTATCCCATTTACAATTCCAATTTTGCGAATCGCGTTCAAAAACAATTGACGGATATGTGCAAATCGATACGTGCAATTCATGGTCCGTAGAATTTTGTTTCTGATTAACAGAGCAGTACAACATACAGGGTGAGATGAAAAAACTGCAACCAATTCAGACTGCTGTCATTTCTAAGCCACTCGTCCGCCAGGTGTTAAAATTATTTCAGTGACAGCTCATTATATTGTTTACAAGCGTACAAAAGCATTTACCAGAATAGAAAGTGTGATTTCTTTATATTTGGCTGGAAAACCACAAGTGGCTATCGTTAGAGCACTCCAGCATTTAAATATGAATAAATCTTTTGTGTCTACCATCGCTCTTACCGTGATACCGGTAGCGTAGCCCGACGTCAAGCAAGTGGACGGAAGAAAACTGCAACATCAGCAGAAATGGTTCGAAAAGTAAGGAAGCGACTTGATCGAAACCCGCGTCGCAGTGGCCGATAAATGGCTCGTGAGCTGAACATATCGCAATATTCCATTCGGCAAATATTGAAAAAATGAGCTCGGGGTAAAGCCATTGAAATCCCAAAAATTGCAAGAACTTACACCGCAACAGCAAGAAATAGACTCAAAAAGCTAAAGAGTTCCTTCGCTTAGCCGAAAGTGGTGATCTGCCGAATTTGGTTTTCTCCGATGAGAAAACATTCGTTGTCCAGCTGTTTGTAAACAAACAAAATGATCGTGTTTACTTGCCAAAGAGGTCAACTGAAAATGTGCACCTTCGGTTGGCCACCAGAACTCAAGCGCCGGCCATGGTGATGGTGTAAGCCGCCATAACTACCGATGGTCCGCTCGCATTAATCGATCGAAAATATTCTGAAGGGTGTATTAAAACCTTGGACACGCAAACATTTTGGACGCAGACCTTGGACATTCCAACAGGACTCAGCACCATCGCACTCAGCACGCGACACCCAAGAATGGTTACAAAATGAGTTTACTCGCTTCATTTCCAGCGCACAATGGCCACCAAAATCAATCCGTTGGACTACTGTGTCTGGGGTATTTTGGAAAGCAATGTTGGTACTAAAAACTACCAAAGTGTCGATCACATCAAGCAAGCGCTTCGCAGGGAATGGGCTCAAATGCCGCAGATCAATATTCGGGCAACGTGTGACAGTTCCATCGTGCCAAAGATGACCAATTCGAAAAAATCTAAACTTATTCTAAAATTTGATGCTATTTTCGACATTTCTTGCTTTAATTCAATAAAATTAAAAAATGTAAAAATTATGGCGCTTGACTTTGTTGCAAATTTTTTGTCTCACTCTGTAGGAAAAACAAAAAAAAAACGGCTTCAATCATATGAAGTCGATTTGTTAATACCCGTTATAGTAGGGTGTCACATGTTGCATATCATGTATCACGTTTTGATTCTCCTGGACAATAGTCTAAAACATTAGAACTGATAATGGTTATGTGCGGATATAGACACACAAGGGGCAAACACATTTTGTATTTTTTTTTTTTTTTTTTTTTTTTTTTTTGTAAAATACAAATTACGGACGGACGTCTCTAATGCCGACCTAGCCGCCGCGGACCACGTCCATATTGGATAGTATTTTATTATCTTAACTTAACTTTTTACTTTAAAAAATCTCCCTCCTGAATGGTTTGAAAGGACATTTCTGATGTAATATTTAGAGGTGTTACGAATCATAATAAGGCATGCATCGGTACCAGATTGTCCCGAAACAACATCTCAGTTTCGGTCAGCAGCTGCCATCTCTGTGTAAAAAAGGTTCGAAAGGGATTACGAACTGCGACAGCGTGGTTCCCAGTCAGTTAGCGTTTTCGACATAGTCTGAGTACGGAATAAAGGGCTGCAAGTGTGACAATTTTCGCTATTTATGCCATGGAGAGAAAACGCTCGTCATGTTGTGCCCTGTTCGATCAAACGCATAACAGTACGTGACATCCAACCAAATGCTCGATGTCTCGTCATGTCGGTCAGACTCAAACCCATCGTCATAACATGTAATGACCAATAAAAGGGGATGTTGAATAGTGTGTCATACAAAAATGTTCTACCACAAAAATTACAACAATAATGAAACAATTTCCAACGAAAAGGCACACGCGATTTTTCCGATATGTGAAAAAACATTCTTTGTAATAAAGTATTTCTTGGCGAATAATAACATATTTCAGGTACTTCCAATTGGTCCACACAAAATTTTCACATTTCGGTTATTGACGAAACAAACCAAAATGTCAATCCTTATTAAAAAAACTGATAAATTTTCTTATTATCTCTGCCCTCAACTACGTCATAAAGAATATTTTTATACCCTACACCACATAGTGGTAAGGGTATTATGTCTTTGTGCATTTGTTTGTAACATGGAGAAGGAAACGAGTTAGACCCATAGTTACTTTTGAGAACCTTCATAGAATCACTTTCTGAGTCGATTTATGCATGTCCTTCCGTCTGTCCGTCCGTCCGTCCGTCCGTCCGTCTGTCCATGTATTCTTGTGAACAAAATGCAGGTCGCATTTATTATCCGATTGAGATGAAATTTTTCAAACAATATTTTTTTGGCCCAAGGACGAACCCTATTGAAATTGGTGAGAATCGGATCAAATTTAGATATAGCTCCCATATATATCTTCATCCGATTTCGGGTTAAATGTGCACCAAATGTCCGCTATCAGTCCAAATGACCTGAATTTTGGCACACCCAACCGAGTTCGGCCTAGAAGCAAGTATATCAAATTTGGAGAAAATCGGTTGAGATATAGCTATAGCTCCCATATACATTTTTCATCCGATTTGATCTTTAAGTCCCTAACATTCCTACTATGCACTCCACAACCGTGATATTTGGTACCAGGTATTACATGGAGCACAGAAATAGCTGTTTTAAATTTTATCGAAATCGGTTCAGATTTGGATATAGCTCCATATATATCTTCATCCGATTTCGGGTTAATTGACCACCAAATGGCCAATATCAGCCCAAATGGCCCGAATTTTGGCACATGTGACCGAGATTAGCCTTAAAGCAAATACAACAAATTTGGAGAAAATCGGTTCAGGAACAGCTATAGCTCCCATATATATGTTTTATCCGATTTGGTGTTTAAGCCTCTCACATTCGTAATATGCACTCCACAAGAATGATATTTGGTACCAGATATAAGATACAGCCCAGAAATAGCTGTTTGTAATTTTATCGAAATCGGTTCAGATTTGGATATAGCTCCCATATATATCTTCATCCGATTTCGGGTTAATTGACCACCAAATGGCCAATATCAGCCCAAATGGCCCGAATTTTGGCACATGTGACCGAGATTAGCCTTAAAGCAAATACAACAAATTTGGAGAAAATCGGTTCAGGAACAGCTATAGCTCCCATATATATGTTTTATCCGATTTGGTGTTTAAGCCTCTCACATTCGTAATATGCACTCCACAAGAATGATATTTGGTACCAGATATAAGATACAGCACAGAAATAGCTGTTTGTAATTTTATCGAAATCGGTTCAGATTTGGATATAGCTCCCATATATATCTTCATCCGATTTCGGGTTAATTGACCACCAAATGGCCAATATCAGCCCAAATGGCCCGAATTTTGGCACATGTGACCGAGATTAGCCTTAAAGCAAATACAACAAATTTGGAGAAAATCGGTTCAGGAACAGCTATAGCTCCCATATATATGTTTTATCCGATTTGGTGTTTAAGCCTCTCACATTCGTAATATGCACTCCACAAGAATGATATTTGGTACCAGATATAAGATACAGCCCAGAAATAGCTGTTTGTAATTTTATCGAAATCGGTTCAGATTTGGATATAGCTCCCATATATATCTTCATCCGATTTCGGGTTAATTGACCACCAAATGGCCAATATCAGCCCAAATGGCCCGAATTTTGGCACATGTGACCGAGATTAGCCTTAAAGCAAATACAACAAATTTGGAGAAAATCGGTTCAGGAACAGCTATAGCTCCCATATATATGTTTTATCCGATTTGGTGTTTAAGCCTCTCACATTCGTAATATGCACTCCACAAGAATGATATTTGGTACCAGATATAAGATACAGCCCAGAAATAGCTGTTTGTAATTTTATCGAAATCGGTTCAGATTTGGATATAGCTCCCATATATATCTTCATCCGATTTCGGGTTAA